GGGTGTGTTTAGCTTCTATAATTGCAACATTGTTTCTTAGAGTGCAAGCTCAGAGGCCAGCAGCAGTGGCAGGCAGGGAACCTTGGCTTCCTCCGTCACTGGAGCAAGCAAGCCTCCTATTCACTTCAGCTGCCTGGCTGCTGGCCGCCATCTTGGTTGGCAGTTAATTTGCATATGTCCTGCTGATTAGCCAATGGGAAGGGTGTCGAGGTTATGGTCAATTTGCATGTTTTTCTTTTATTAGATAGGATAATTTTTACTTTTATGACATACTCTTTGTCTTATATATGGATTTTTTATGCCAAGGCCTTTTTCAGGGACAAAAATCTTGTATTATGATATATGAAAAAATATGATCTGCCCTATAATGTACTTTATATTAATTTTGCAAGGGCAGAATATGGCAAAAAATGTCTGGATAATTCAAATCAAAAGAATGAGAAATTAAATGAAACTTAATTTATGTAATTGCTTTAGTTCTTTCTTCTATTTGTAAAAATATTACAATTGCATGCTACTTCTTAATTATGTTCTAGTGTTTAGCCCTAGCTTAAAATGTAAGAAAGAAAAGGCCGACAATCTTTAGAATGATTTTAATGCTTGAAGTTATGGCTCTAAAGCATAATATGCATATAAGTCATCTGGGAAGCTTGTGAAAATTGTAGATTTCTATGCCTCACCTCCAGAGATTTTAAGTCATGAATTCTAGAATGTGACTTGGGAAAACGCATTTTGTAAACAATCCAGCTGATTTTGACACAGATGGTCTTAGGCCACATATTTAGAAACTCTGGTCTAAGAGAATGTGAATACTGTACTTACATGGTCTATGAACTACAAGCAGAAAGCAGGGGAGATCCATTCTCTGGCATGGATTCCACAGTCAATCCAAACAGCATTTTTGGCTGCTTGTTGCTTTTCAGAAACCTGCCCAAAGAAAATAAAAATAATAGCAAGGAGCTTCAGGATAACTTCCATTTATTTAGGGCTTATATTTTAACTAGAGGCCCAATGAACGAAATTTGTGCAAGAGTAGGCCTTTCTTCCCCCGGCTGCCAGCACCGGCTTCCCTCTGGCACCTGGACCCGGGCTTCCCTCGCAGCCCTGGCTTCCTCTGGAAGGTCTTGCGGAAGCATGTCCGGTTTAATTAGCATATTATGCTTTTATTATTATAGACCCTTTTAACAAATATATGACATATGCATTAGTCTCTGAATTACTTTGAGAATTCTGAAGAAAAATTAAAAGCTGGTGAGATTAAAAGTGAAGAGATAAAATTATTAAGATCACATACCTGGTAAGAGTCAGAATTAAGAATTGAAGCCAGGCCGAAACTGGTTTGGCTCAGTGGATAGAGTGTAGGCCTGCGGACTGAAGGGTCCCAGGTTCTATTCTGGTCAAGGGCATGTACCTGGGTTGCGGGCACATCCCTGGGGGGGGGTGTGGAGGAGGCGGCTGATCGATGTTTCTCTCTCTCGATGTTTCTGACTCTCTATCTCTCTCCCTTCCTCTCTGTGGAAAATCAATAAAATATATTTTAAAAAAAAGGTTCCCTTAAAAAAAAAAAAAGAATTGAAGACAGGACTTCTGACTTAAAGCTCTTTTATTCCCCAAACATTTAAGTAATTATAACTAGTGGAAATGTAGAAGTAGAGACCAGAGAACTAGTGCTTCAGGCACTTTCTTCACACATCGTTAGAGGTAAATGGTATGTGTTGGGTAGGCAGCTTTCTGTGGGAGGTGTGGAACAGAGAAAGGCTTGAGAAAGGGGAGCCAGTAGGCTATTTCTCCATTTCATACAAAAAGAATCACACATCCTACTTCACACAAACTTATCACCAATATATCTGGGGACAGTAGGCTTGTTCTGATTCACAGTATTGGGAGGTGGGGGGCTAGTGCATGATGTCAAATCTCTGGAAAAAGAGATATTTTCCAACCTTTCTTTTCTCAGTGATAGCCTTTAAGATCTTCAGCAAGATTCTCAAATTCACCTCCAAACAAAATGAATTATATTTCATTTGCTTTTAAAAAATAGTTACAGCCAAAACCGGTTTGGCTCAGTGGATAGAGCATCGGCCTGAGGACTGAAAGGTCCCAGGTTCGATTCCGGTCGAGGGCATGTACCTGGGTTGCTGGCACATCCCCAGTGGGGGATGTGCAGGAGGTGGCTGATCGATGTTTCTCTCTCATCGATGTTTCTGACTATCTCTCTCCCTTCCTCTCTGTAAAAAATCAATAAAATATATTTATAAAAAAAATAGTTACAACCCATCTTTAGAGTATGGAGGGAAGGGGGAAGAGTGTTGTAAAATCAAACAAATATGTGGGGTTGAAATTCCAAAATAAGAAAAGAGAGAGTTAGATTTTCAGATTGCCATCTGCACTACCCAAGGAGGATTTTCCTAACTAACTTGGAGATAGTGATATTCAATGAGAAAGCAAGTGAGAAAGTCACGTGCACTGACCGTGAAAGGTTAAATTACTCAAAGAAGAGAACTGCTTGGCTGACTTAATCTATTCAATTTAATAGAAACCCTGAGTTGTCTGAATTAGTTGTCTTCTGTCCGTGCTAAGCAAGCTCTGCTGGTACTGGTCCTGACACTGGCAAGCAGGAGGAACCCTAGAGACCCACATTATGTCCTTATGTGGTCATCCTTGGCCAAGTAAGAGGAGACTAAAGCATGCAAGAAGCATGGCTTCCACACATGTACATCTAAGTACCAGAAACACAAGTTCCAGTGAGTACACACAACATGCTGAAAGCAAATGCCATGGATGGGATGCCATGATTACAAGGATCCAATCTGAGCAACTCAGTCACCAAGAAGACCCAATGTTTCATATGTCTGTCTTGAGTCTGCACTGCAAGTTTCTTTAGAACAGATTAAAACTTAGAAATTCTGACTCAAAATCTTATCTTTGAATGAC